TTGAAAAGAAACTATACATATAAATTTGGTACATAGAAAATCAATAATTTGGAAAAACATGTAACAATAAAACAAATTATGAATTTCGGGGGAAAAAATCAAACGAGAGGAAAAAACCGGGGGAAAAAAGTAAAAGGAAAAAGAAAAAAGATGAAAAGAAAATTGAATGATTGCAAAATCTCTAGAAAAAGGAGGTTAGATCAGCAAAATGAGTGAGAAATGGATTGAGTCGAGAGTCAAACAAACCCAGACTCATGCATACCGACGTGTCAACAATGTCAACAATGCAGTTGACCGGCCACGACACATGTCTTAATGACATTATAGAGCTACTAATATCATCGGGATACAGGCAAACACACTTCAAAGTTGTGTTCTCAGTCCTTTCGAATCAAAACTTACGTGATTTACCATGATTAAATGTAATTCATAACAGAAACACTTTAGGAAAGGTAACACCACATGGGGTGTATGCATCAACACACTATAAGAAAGAAAAATATTCGGATATATACATATACATCAAACTTAACACAAAGATATAAAATAATTTAACCTTTCTTACAGAAAAGTTAAAGAAATACTTCACCAACTAAAATTATATATGTGCATATTTTTACTTGTTTACATGCTATATTTTCTTTAGGAGCTGCCAGATACGTTGTGGAACTTTCTATCAGATCGTGGTTTCTATCACGACGCTCAAAACTTTTCAAATATACTTCCAACATGGTAAAAATGTAAAAATTACAGTGCTTCCTATTTTATCAAGTGGAAGCCTGATAACGAAAAGTTAGTGTTCACAAAGAGTATGCTGCATTTTATATTGTCTTGTTTTTATAAAGTAGAGGTAATACGCTTTCAAATGATACATTTGTTACATTAAACCATACACACTTCACCGGTCAACATTGTTTTGAAAAAATGCATTTGTGCTAGATTTTGCTTTAACTATTAACATGTTAGGATATCATATCAACGTTAACGATTATGACCTGAACGAGAAACAAGCTTAACAATAAAACAATGAGAGCAAGGGTTCCATTTTTCTATTTTAATAGTGGAGAAATAAGTAATGCAATGATAAAATAAAGGATAGTGGAGTGTTGTCCATGGTGAAGGTAATGAGGGCATAATTAGTACCCAGATGGGTCTACAATTGTCACGAACCTTGTAACATCATTATTAATCAGATAAGATAAGATTTTATTGACTCTATCGACCCACTTCCGGGGTATGAGAGCACAACATATTTACAACACAATACAGAAAGATATATAAAAACAAAGTAAAATATGATAATAAAATACTTAGACATGATACATACATTTTTATATTTCTAAAACACAATAAACATGAGCTAAAGACTAAGTATACACTATACAGTTTAAAGTTATAAGTCTAAAATATCACGTGGTTTGGTTTGTCTACCACAACGAGTTACTACACTTTTATTAACAAAAATAGGACCATGCATTTCAGCCTTAGGAATCAACGAAAAGAATTGTTTTATTACTCTTATGAATTTTACGAGTTTTCTTAATTGTTTAACGCTAGATCTATTAAATAATTTGTCCATGTGAAATGTGCTAGGGTTACTCACAACAAATTGTCTATCTAGGTATAACTGCCTTTCTTTCTTGAAAAAAGGGCAGACAAAAATATAGTGAAATTCATCTCCAAAAACCTTTAAATTACAACAAGGACATTCAATTTTACCTTCTTCAGCATTATTTTCAAACCTTCCATTATTAATTGGTAAGCGGTGTGACCTGCATCGGAATCGACACAAAGTGATTGCACCTCTTCTATTCAACTTTACCAGATACTTTCAAATAAAATTTCGTTCTTGATAATTCGGTAGTTAACACAAATGCGATTTGACCAAACATTTGACATAATTTTTTGCTTTGACATGTGTCAGTCAACCTGAGCTTAGGGCATGAAGAATCCATGTATTACTGAATCCATCTCCTTGCATTTGCCACACATTTCCTAGCCCAGCATTATTTAATGTATTCTCTACACATGACAACCATTTAGATAATTGAGACTGGGAACCTCTTTCCATAAGTAACTTTAAAAGATTATAGAATCTAAATGTATATTTACAATGACTTCCTTTGACTACTTTTAGCCTGAACATCAATTTTAGTACTGCCTGTCTCACCATAAATCATACAGTCAGGTGTATATTTATTGACATTCAGTATGGCCCTTAAAAATTTGCGATGAAAATTTTCAATCTGGCTTAAATCCTCAAAACCCCACACCTCACAGCCATATAACAGTATTGGCAGGATTAACTGATCAAATAACTCACACTGTATATCCAATGATAATCTTAACCTTTGCACCTTTAAGGTCATTGCAAATGAGGCTTTTCTTGCCTGAATCACCTGTTTTTATATTGCCTTTTAATAATTACAATTGTAATTAAATTTAACCCCAAGATACACAAAATCTTGTACCACATTGATAATACCGTTCCCATACTTAAAAACTGGGTACTTGCGTAACTTTCCTTTAGAGAATATCATTATCTTTAATGCTATTTTGTATTATGTAAATCATACGATATGTTGTACAAGTTGAGGCTGTTAGTTTACATCTGACTTGTACTCATATCTTAGCCCTCCGAGGTCCGCTTTCAATAGAGCGTCATCAAGATCTTGTGTAAAACCACATGTCTTTGTTTTCCAATTTTTCAATATTTCTTCAAACGCATCAATATAATTTGATTGATTTTTGGTTAAGATGTTCTTGGAGTAGTTGATGTCAAGTACCAGAGCTACGCAAAAGTCGGTGTAGTTGCCATGGGGCATGAGTTTTGCCAATGTTATGATTTCTCCTTCGGTGATTTTCCTTTCGTCAGACCTGTAAAAGTGAAAACGAAAGGCAATTAAGATGAGCATCATTAAAAGCATACCGTATCTTTAGAGAAGCACTTAATAAAAAACAGGAATACTCACACAAACATAAACTCGGTATAAGTATGGACTTGACACATATATTTAAAACCCCTCTGTACTTATGCTTCGATAGCTATAGAGGCAATATTACGGCAACATTACGGCAACTATTCAGATACTTAAATTGATTGTTGTCTCTATTCGATGTGCTCCATTCCACTCATATTTTGCAGGTCTGTCTATATTGCTTTCATATCTTTATATCATTGAGTACAAAGTTCGCCGTTAAGATTTTATTTAAAGTGGATCTGGCTTCTTACAATCCTATATTACTATTAATATCATTATCTTTATAAGTAGTAGTAGTAGTAGTAGTAGTAGTAGAAGTAACAGTAGTAGTTGTAGTATTAGTATCATCATCATCATCATATGTTCAACAAACCAGTCAATCGAAATATCCTTTACTAAATTGCAGGCTAAGTTGAACATATCAGTCAATGGTTATTTTTCAAATAACGTTTGAATAATTATCAATGCTTATGATACACACGGCAAAGACAAAACATATTGTTCATTTGAATTGCAAAGTTTTATCATGTGATAACATTTTAGGCCATAAATATTATCTTGGAATTTATCAGTAAAAATCTTTCAAAATGAAGAAGACCTAAGATATTTTGCAGTATATGAAATTACTGTACCTGTTCACGTTTTCTTCTCGTGGTGGCGCATTTGAGTTATCAACTGTGGAAAGCTAAACATTATAGTGTTATATTGACAGAAATCCGGGTCCTATTTCATAAAAGCTAGAATATACAGTGCGTCCCAGAAAAAACGAAACCGAGAATTATCGATTTGTTATCATAACTTAATCACAATTTTTATTAATAAATGACACATATTTGTAAAGCTTATAGATCCTCCGCTTTCATTTGAAGCAATTCATGTGATAAATATTTCACGCATGAGTGTTTAAAACAATTTGAAGAGAGGAAACAAAAAAACGTCATTTGGCGGGCGGTATCCGAATTTTAAAGAGAAAATCACATTTCTAGAAAGTTCATTTTCTGCCCTTTCATATGACTCCTCTGAGGAAAAATGAGCCAGGAATAACAAAGTTCTGTCTGTTTAAAGTAATGCTTGCATTTCCATTATTTGATTAAACAAATTCGTTTTCACTGCCTGCCGTAGCAACATAGCTGACAAAAGACTTAACTCCGTTTCGTTGACGATCAGCCATGCACCAAGTCTTTCGTCTTCTTTAAGTCATGATAAAACATCGATAATTCTCGGTTTCGTTTTTTCTTTGACGCACTGTATAATAAGTTACAATAACTGTTATAACCTAGTGATATCGTTGAATTTGATTGGCTTTGAGAAAATTTGTTATATAAATGTGACACTCATTATTGAACCAAAGTTTTATGAATCAGGGCCCGTAATCAATTCAATACTTGAGTTTGAAATATGAGTATTTTACTTAATCTTCGGCTTAGATAAAATACTGAGCCAATTTCGGTATTCAGTTCAAACTTTTGACAACGTATTTCATCATAAATTTAAGACAACTCCTTACCGTACTTAAGCCAATTATCTAGAGGCCTTGATTAGCAAGCATATGGTTTTCAAGTACATTACTAACCTATTTAAAGAACTTTACTTATCTCGTATTAAAATCGCGTTTTACATACGTAAGACAATGTCTAAGCTGATTACTTACTGATAACTTTTCGTTAAGTACGAAGATGAACATTATGATTTTTACTTTATTTACCATTTATTTATTTAAATTTGTTAAGGTATTTCCGAGCCTATTATTATTTTAATATATTATATCATATGCATGACAGAATATTCACCTTCTTTCTTTTATTAAAATTCCTAATGTATTGCCCTGTCCTAATACTGAATACTTAAAATACAATGAAAAGATGATATTTTACAATTATATGATGCTTAATGAAATGCAAGAAGGGCGATCAGGTAATATAATTGAAGACCGAACATGGTATGATGGTTTTAGCCTAATTATGCTACGAGATAGCATTGCAAACTATAATTAAAAATTTTGATCTAACAAGATATGTTTCTCACCTTCTTCATTTTTTGAACGTTTAGCAGCTGCTTTTGGTCGTCCAGTTGGGTCTGAAGATTCTGCTGATGTTATTTAAAAACAAATAGGAAGTTTACTATAAATGTGTACGCCATATGTTTCCTGGACGATTTCGAATAATCGCTCAAGTTCAGGTATCTCATCACCTATACCTTCTCTTGTCACTTTGCTTCATGAACAAGATTCATTTGAACTTGGATCTGGAATCCTCTATCAGATTTGAATATTGTGAAGCATAATGAAGAAATATGAGAGTTTGTGCATAATGGCTTTTTTAATGGCAATACTGTATTCAATAAGTTTTCGTTAAAGGGCAAGTCCACTCCCAAAAAATAACTGTCTTTCAATAGAAGCAGAGAAACTAAACAAACCAATTAAAAACAGTTTGAGCCAAATTGGATATTAACTAATAAGGAACTTCAGAATTTTAATGACAAGAAAAGTTAGAAAATGACAAGACAAATTGGCAACCCACTCGTGAGTATGTGACGTAATCGCCTCACTATCCATTCATTATTTCTTTATATTGATAACATGAATTTCCCATTTCCCCCTTAAAATCGTATTTACTCATACCAGCATCCAAGCTATATTGATAATAATATATTTTTATGTGGAGGCACTAATATAGAGGGTTTTCGTCAGTTAAATCATGAACAATTTGAATGTGATAATCTATTTATATAAAAATCAGTGATTATGAATATGCAATATTCAGAAAATAGTATCAATTCTTAAAAGTTTATAACAGATTTTGTGAAATGTCATGTACGCAATATGATACAAATGTTATAACCTGGGCAAAGGCATGGGGAAATCAAGTTTTGGGGATAAAAAAGAATATTAATGGGATAAAAAATTAAATAAAGCAATTGATCAATAGTGAGGCAATGACGTCACAAACTGATAACCAAGTTTGCAAATTGTGCAGTGATTTCCATTCTTCCATACTTTTTCATACTTAAACAAAAAATGATAACTTCCTTTTAATATTAGTTATCAGATTTTAATCAAAGGTGTTTTGCCCTGTTTCTTTTGTTTTAATGCATCTATTAAAAGCAAATTATTGTTGTAGTGGACTAAAGTATAAAAAATAACTTTCTGATTAAAAAAAAAATCATATAATTCCAATTATCGAATTATCATGATGTGCATTTTCTAATTTTAGGCGGCTTGATTTATTTAAGCCATGAATGGCGCTCTTCTTTGTAGTAGTTTAAATAAACATATGTGCCTACAAAGTGTTGCTCGTCTTTGGACATTCGTAAGAACAATACAATAAAGGGAAAATAGATGCAAATAAAGAAGTTTATTCTTCTCTTAATTAATACTTTAAAAAACTTTAAATGGTCTTACCATTTCCATCTTTGGAACCGTCAACTGATGTCTCAAGTAGGTTCAATTCTTCTGTTGATATTAATTAAAGATACGTTGGATGAATACAAGAGCATTTCTGAGCATGTTAGAATATATTATCTTATTATATGCATGGCAGAATAACAATCCGGTTTCATTGATTTAAAACCATAACGTAATGCTCTGTCCTAAAAGTGAGTACTGAAAATACAATGAAAAGATGAAATTTCACATTTGAATGATGATTATGTAAAGGGCAAGAAGAGCGATCAGGTAATATAATTATTTATTGGAGAGGTGACATGATCTGATGCGTTTTAGCCTATTTATGCCTCAAAATAGCATTAAAAACTAAATAACTATATATATGTCAGAGTTGAGAATTCTCGCACTTTTATATATACATATATATATACATATATATATATATATATATATATATATACATATATATATATATATATATAAAATAGATAACATCCCAGACGACGATCTGATTACACCATGATTCCATAATTATGAACTTAGGTCTGAACTATTCCTTAATGCAGATTTTTCGACAAACATTTAAGATCCAGTAGCAGCTCCTGCGACATCAATTTCAAACCGTATCTTTACACCCAACCATAATCACTTAATATCATAAAGCCAATCCATCTGAAAACAAATGAAAGCCAAGTCCAAAATCCCTATTCTGTCGAAATGAATTACCAAGCAGACTTCGGGCCATATGTGAAGTAATGTATTATACATACCTTGATCGGGTTGGACCACCTCGCTGTTCTGTTCATCCTTTTTGGAGCAGCAGTGACCTAGAAAACAAATGTAAATCTTAGCATTATTGTTCATATTTGTATTGCATCTACATACGTAAACGTAAAGAAAAAACACATAAAGGCAAACCCTTTTTCTTAATTCCACAAATAATTATTTCCCGTCCCTAAATATCAAAATAAAGCAGACGGAAAAATATCCTTAAGGCGAGGCGTCAAAAATAAATATACCAGCCGGCGGCAGCTAACTGCACTTATGCGTCTTGGCTGCCTTGTTTAAATTAGCTCAGCCGGCTAACGGCTGGCGGTAGGAAATGGTATCCAAAAGCCTGCGCCGGCTGCCGCCTTTCGAATGGAAACCGAGCCTCGGAAAAAGCTAGAAAACATGAGCTCAGCCTGGCTGCCGCCGGCAGGAGGACAGTGATATGCCGCCAAACTCCAGCCTCTCGCATGGAAGCCGAGCCTCTTCTTAATGAGGTTGCCTGGGCCCCCGCCGGCCTAATTGAACCAGCCACCCGCCGCCTGGTTCACCGCCACATCCTGCCAAACGATATCTTCATAAAGCAGAATCTAATTTGTCAGAGCAAAATAAACAGCGCCATCTTATGATAAATAACTCGAAAAACACTATAGCCTTGCGAAAATAATCTTTTCAGATTGGACAGCCTTATGAACCCCAAAACAACAATAACAACTTGTCACTAGAGACAAATATGTGTTCATTCTTTTCTGATATGCCTTTTTCAATAAAGAGACCAGTCGTACCGTGGATAAATGTGGGCTCACTTTATGTAGATGCATCCTGCCTGTAAATGGATTAGATGCCTTGTATTTTCATATTTAAAAAAAATAATTTTGGTAACAACATAAGATTTGCTATTTTAAATTACTGGCTCGCCTATTGTTTATAATACCCAAATCATATATTTGTGTTTATTTGTGTTATGCTTCAATGATATAAATCCTATTATATACCTTACTTTAAGAATCTTTCCTAATCCTGCCATCTGATTGGTTAAAAGCGAAGTCGTGATTTTAACTATGCCCGCCAAAATAATCTGTTTTTAAATATGCCTGCCAAAATGTTATCTTTGTCAAGTCGAGGTGAGGAGAGATATTATTATCTTTGTCAAGTCGAGGCGAGACAGACAATATTTATATTATATTATAATATACCGCCGTCATGTCCTGATGAGTTGCGTTTGAAAGATAGAGTTCAGTCTAGAAATCAGGGGTACTTTGTTTTTCGAAGAATTTAGAAAATATAAATCTAACGTACATCTCTATCAGTAATTTGGGGACTGAATAGATAATAAAAACAAACATGTCAACGGCAAGCAAGTCAATGAAGCATATATTGTCATATAGCTTTTTATTAAATGAATTTTCTGTAGATATATTGAGTAAAAAGGTCGATAATAGAAAAGGGTAGAAGGTATAAACAGTTTTTCTTCGAGTGTATTTTTTTCGTTTAAAAAAGAAATTCTATAGCTTTATTAAAAAGAAAAAGAAAACAGAAGCTATGTCGAGAATACAAGTGCGTGATTTAGAAGGAAAGATAGAAATATCAATAATTGTCCGGCCAGCGCACGTCTTAATTATCTGTCTTTAGAAAGCGGCCAAATTCAAAGAGTCTTTTAAAAAGCGATTACTAAAGAAACGTCACAGGCACACTGTCCTACTTGTAGCTACTTGCTCCCTCTATATAGAAAACTTCCCCAATCGGTGCCCGTTGGTCCCCCATGATCCTCTTTTCTTTATGTTAAATGAGAGCTGAGTTAATGAGATAACCACCTGTCACAGTGACCTCGCTGGCTCGCAGGGCGGTCTAATCCCTTCTGGCTGAAGTAGTAAAGCCTGCCTTTAAGGAAAGAGAAGATGAACTCTTAATCCATGTCTGAATTCAATTGCCCCCTACCCCCCCCCTCCTGCGCGAAGCGCGGAAGCTTTGACGTTGCATTAAAATATTTGGTTTGGTCCAGAAGGCAGAGCCGCCGGAAGTTCAGGGGTTTAAGGCGTTTTATTACGGTCAGGTGAGTATTTTTTGATACCATATTATTTTGTGACACTGGCAGGACACTCTTTGACTTGAGGTCTAGGGGACGGAGCCCCCAAGAATTTCAGGGGGTTTAGGCATTAAATTACCGTCAAATGACCATCATTTAGCAACATGTGTAAGTCACCGTAAGGTTATGGAATAAGAAATAAACCACGTTTGAATTTTGCCTCTCGGCCGATCCACAACTTTTTGGCTTCTTTTCTTTTCTTTTCTTCTTTTCCCCTTTCTTTTATCTCCTCTTTTCCTTTTTTCGTTCCCTTTCCTTCTTTCGCTCTTAATTTGTTTTGATTGGAGTTGGGTTAATTGGGGAGGGTTGGGGAGGCAACAGCCTGAGAGGCAAGGCCCTCGATCTCCTTACCCCCTTTTCTTCGCTTCCTCCTCTTCTTTGACCCATGTATTGTTCGTGAAATCCATGCAATACTGTTTAATGCGCCCACAGGCCTTGCAGGGATGGCGCATAGAGTCCCTTTTATATACCAAAAGTTGTGACACGAAGCGTCCGTTTTGTTGCGTTTTGTTGGAAACAGTTATGGCGTTTGAATTATAATTTGGACATGCTTGGAGTCATCAGCTGATTGGGTGAAACAAGCCCCTTGCGTGCGGCAGGGGAAAATAAGGCATGCCATTAATGGGGCGCGACCCATGCCCCCGACGTGCCGGGCAGCATGCTAAGACATTTTATTCGTCATGCTTTACTCAATATATTTACAGAACATTCATCAAACATTGAACATCCGACAAATCTAACAAATTAAAAAAAAAATCACCCACCCTCCCCCCCCCCCCCCTTCACACACACAGCCTATGCCATTCCGACCCTTTGGGTAATTCAAGTTAGGCAGCCTTAACCCGCGCCAGAACAATAGAATCTGACAAGCCGGACAAAAGCGATCAAACTAGTGTTGAGTGAGCGCGCGAATAGTAAAAAGCTACTATTATATGACAACAGATGCTTAGTTGATGAGCTCGCCGTTGACTTGTTTGTTATTATTTGTATCTATTAAGTCCCCAAATAACATATAAAGGTGTACGTTAGATATAGTATTTGATCGTGAATCCTAACTTTTCCTTTTTATTATGTCTGTTTAACTTTATGTTTTCTATTTGTTTCCATGACGCGCCGCCCCACGACAAAGCGTTGAGTCGCCGAGCGCGCGACTACGTAGTAAAAAGCTACTAGTATAAGACAACAGATACTTCATTGTTGAGCTCGCCGTTGACATGTTTGTTATTAAGCCAAACAATAAAAATAACGTGTTTCTCGTCCAGACTTTAACACAAAACAGAGGAGGCATGCAGGGCATTACTTTTTACTATATATTTTTCAATTTTTTCCAAGATGGCTGCCAATTGCTTATTATAGCTGGCCAAGCCCATTTATTCACAGATATTGTGCTAAGTGAGTATAGTGATGGAATGTATCACAAAATAAATGATTTGTATCACTTTAGAAGATATTTAAACAAAATATATATCACAGGCTTTTTTGTTGGGGGGGGGGGGGGGGTTCCGGAATAGTAAAACAAAAAAAGGAGGCGGCGACCAAAAAGGAGGCGAAAAACACTTCGTTTTTGTTATTTGGCCTCATTCATATCTATTTAGTCCCCAAATAACCGATAGAGGCGACCTTAGATTTATATTTTCTTCGAAAGATAAAGTGCCCCTGATTTCTAGACTGAACTTTAAAACGCAACTCATCAGAACTTGAAAACATGACGGCGACATATATTAGGCCAAATACAATAAAAATGTTTAGCGTCCTGCCTTTTCAAAAAATAGGAAGGAGGAGGCCTTTTTTCTTCTTTTTTTTTTTCTTTTTCAAAATGGCCGCTTGGTACATTTTCCCTGCAGCCAAGACTGAGGGGATTTTTTAAATTTTAAAATCAGAAATAGATCCATTTTAAAAATACTATGTCCCTTTTGCAGCCTACATCTAATTCTGTAGAACTTTGCAGGAATTCTGAATATGTTATGTATGTCCTATCTGTGAAATTCAAACTTGAGCAGTGTCCTAATATTCAAATTATGTAATGAAACCGGTTAACTTGCTTGATAGTCCAGGCATTTCGTGAAAAAAAGGGGTCAACCTCCCACTAATTGCAACAGAAAGTCTGTCAACTGTTTTATACCCAGAAATATGCCCTCTATAACATATCAAAAGTCTTAAGGAATCCAGGCGGGGGAAAGTTCCGTGGCGGCCATTTTTCAAAATGGCCGCCATGTATAACTAATATTGTACAATTCTGGGGATTTCTTTTTAACAGCACCTCATTTTACCATGAATAAGGTGTCATAAGAAAAACAATTACATTTCCTACAAGATGATACCTCATTCAATACGTTTCGGGATGATTTGCTTACCAATTTGAAGCCAAAAGTGTGATTTTTTACCATTTTTTTCAAAAATATGAATTGCGCCAAAATACATATTTCTCCATATTTATTTGATTATTATGCTAACCGACTTGAAACTTGCTGAAAAACTGTTCAGCATCTTGGTTGATAACATATCCAAATTTCAAGTCTATTACTTTTCAAACTAAAAAGTTATAGCACTCTAAAGTTGAAACTTTGTTATGAGCCAAAATGGCAAATTTGGTTGCTAAGGGCTATCTTCTCCTTAGCAACGGTAACATATTGGCGTGAGAAATAGAATATATCACGAGAAATTGCTATCACCAAGCAGGTGACTACTTTTATAGGAAGTATGATGTCAAATGATGCATTTTCATCCAATTTTAACGATAAATATCGCTTAGTTCCCGTTGCTATGGTAATAATATGCCTAGCAACCGATATAATACACATATTTTTGTTGTAAATCTAATATTTCCCATATCTCTGCTTCTAAATAACATAGAGAGTTTTGATTTTAAGTGCTAAACATACATTTCCAGAGACAAGGAATCAAATTAATTAAATGTTAATGAGCTAAACCTAGCCAAAAAGCCGAAACGGCAGCCATTTTCCAAAATGGCCG